GAAATCTTGCACTGACGAGAATAGAGATCTCGCACTGACGAGAATAGAGAATGCGCTCGCTGGGATATCAAGAAATCTCGCACTGATGAGAATAGAGAATGCGCTCGCTGGTATATCAAGATATCTCGCACTGACGAGAATAGAGAATGCGCTCGCTGGGATTCCATAGACAGACTATAGAAATCACATGTCTTTTTTTATAGTACGGCTCTATTTGAAGTCAGTGGACTGTGGTATACTTGTAAAACTCACACAGAATAGGCTCTGAGTGATGTGTCCTGTACGTTTCTGTGTGACTGGTAGCTACCCTGACCTCTTTTCCACTCCTACCTGCAGCGTGTTTGTTTGGTTTTTTTTTGCTTACTGGCTATAAGTTTGGTCGGAGGGCTGCATGCAATGATAACATATATTATCTACCAGTTTTAAATTACTTTTCAACGGTTATGGCATCAACTAAATATATACAACACTGAAGACTATATACCTCGCTAGTACTTTCGCCCATCTTTTCATCCGATTTTAATTTATTTTAATTGCGACGTCATAAATTAAATATGTCAAAAAAAATAACGTCATGAACAAAGTACACATAATGCGGACGTCTATACGTGTTTAAAGCTTGAAAAATGCATGTTTAGCATTATCTGGGATTATTACGTCATAGAAGTTCAACGTCTTAAACCAAAGGAGACTGAGGTCCCGCCCCATAATGTACAGGGATTTTGTTAACAGATCTTGATAACACGGTATTCAGAAACTATGTATTAAACTGTTACTGGTACGTGTTTTTTCTTTCTTTTAAAAACTACATCGTAAAGTATATAGTATATGTTCGCTTTATCTTCAGACGAAAATTCGTCGTTTAAAAATGTAAACCATTGATCTACTCAAACACTTGAATGAAATTGATGTATATATGTATATTTATTACACTGTTAGGCAGATATTGAGCTTTTTAATACTACAACAGGTTAATGACACCCAACTGTAAACGACTTTTCCTATTCACATGGAAATTTGATGTTCAAATCACATTGAGATACGATCGAATACGCTGAATACATGAAGTATTGAGGTTAAGAGGCGTACGAACAGGTTTAAAGAGACTGTTTATGTCATTTTTATGAAGAGCATGGTTAAGACGCGTTACCCTCGAGTATGAGTATATCGGGAGACCTCGACAGTAAGATGTATTTAAAACACAAACCTTTTGGAGAATCGTCGAGTTATCACTGAGTTAGAGATTCGTAACAGCTATTGAATTGTCTTTGAATTTGCGGGAGTTTCCGATATATATCTTCACCAATTTTAAGGTGAAATAAAAATACCGATATCGCCGTACTAGCGTGATAGATACATGACTGGAAAATTGATGATTTAAGACATTGTTTATAATTATATTAAAGATAAAGATTAACCAAAAATATTTTAAGATATGGTGGATAAAAATTGTATATCGAGAATCTCAAATGAATCAATTTGATTTCAGATGTTTTTTAAATCATATTATTTTATGGGTTTTTAAAAAGTCAACATGAAATCAGATACAAAAAACGCCATTATTTTCAAGGTCAATAGAGTTACTTCCCTTATATATTAGAAGCGAAAAGGTATACACAGGAACTTGTTTCTGTCAATAAAAATAGTCATGACTAAAAAAATCACACTCTACTTTTAAAAATGTTATATTTTTGTCAGGACTGTTTTTATTGAAAGAAACAAACGCCTGCAAATTAATGGTTTCTTTACAAGAAAAACCAATGGTACAAGTTAAAACTGTAGTATAATTAAAAAGCTATGGTACAAGGGCAAATCAAAGATTTACACCGTCACACTAGCAAGGAGAATAAAAGACAATATTGCAGGGAATGGTATCAGATACATATAAAATCAAGGTCAGTCGAGTTATCTCCTTTGTATGAATAACTTGTATTCAATTCAGTCTTTCTTCACATTTCAGATAAAACACTACAGAAGCCGACAGCTGAACTCTTTATTATTTGAGATTGTGCAGTGAGTGTTGATCCGGTTAGATGTTGCTATGGAAACGCATCACCGGGTAAACATTCATCCGCATATGTCTTGAACAATCGTCTGGTTGCTATGGAAATGTCAACGGAGGTTTTCTACTCACCAAACATTTTTTGTAATGAAGAAATACTTTTACCTGTATGTTTAGAATTCCGCAATGATGTTACCTTAGATACCAATTAGTTGACCTCAATATTATCTTCAAACAACTCACAGTTTATGAGGAGTGGGATTGCTGATAGAGTATAGTGTATGGACTTTGCAGTTAACAATGTTTAAATCAAATTTTCTATTTGGAGCTATTTTTATTTTGTTGATGTAAATGTATATTAGAAATAAAAGCTATCACTTTGCGACTTTTCTACATGTACATGTCTATGTCTATGTATGTATTTCACTGTTTCACTGTTTTGCCTTCAAACTGTTTTATAGCTACACAAAATTATGTGCAAATAACATTTTAAATTTTAAATTTAATTAACGAATCTGGTTAACTACTGGTAGGTCATAGTCCCGAATTCTCAAAGACGTATGGACTTTTGTAGAAAATTAAAAAAATACGATGGTACTTATTTCTCTCGTTACTTATCACAAATCCAGCAAATATGCTCATTATTATGTCAAGTAAATATGATCTTAATTTTATGTTCAGGAACATTACTTATTATTAATTAATTATGTCCAGTGTTTGTGACCACAACTAGACAAAAAGTTAATTATGTATGTACCAAAAGTGATTCACGTGTATTGAGAGTGAAGTTGACGTGAACAACTGGGAAAATGACGGGAGGAATATGGACAATACTTCGGCGTATATTCTAAAACAGTCGATAATTGTCCAATTCGTCTCCCGAAAAACAAAATCATCAATATATACCAATCTACGATTTTAAAGTTGCCGGGTTTGGTTGAAATGCAGTGGAAACTTATTTAAAAGTGTTATCAATTAAATAAAAAAAAGTTTGAACTACCAGGGACAGTATATATTCGTCCCTGGAACTGCTAACATTGTGAGGATTCATTATTTTGAGATAAATGTATAAATATACAAGGTCTTTTTTATTACGGTGTGTCCACACGAGATGACGTCAGTCAAGTAACACCAGGATGAGAGGCATCACAAAAATATCAAAGAGAGCCCAGACCAATTTTGTTCAATGAATGATGTCCACGGTAAGCGTGTTTGCCGTCACCTAAGACGTTTTTAGTCAGCCATCCAAAAAGTGGTGGGCTGTTCAAATCACCCTTCGCCCATGGTCCGTCCTTAAACAGTTCTTGTATCCTCTATATCTCAAGTACATGGTGGATTTTCCCCCTCTGCCTGTAGTTATACATATTTTTATTTTCAGACTTAACGGAAGAGAAGATAACCGCCAGGCAGCCATCTTTAAATTTTGACAGTTCAATATTGTTATCGATGTTCCTCAAGAGGTACTTCACAGATTCTTCTCAAGTTTCATATATTTGTTTCTCTCCCTTGGTCCATAGTTGTGCATATTTCATCTTGAAACTAATTGAAAAACAAGATGGCCACCAGGCGTTAGATTTTTACAGTTCAAGTTTGTTATCGCTTTTTCTAAAATAGTCATTGACAGATCTTTCTGAAATGTCGTATGTAGGTTTGTTTCCCTCGACTCTTAGTTGTGCGTGTTTTATTTTAAATCTTGTGGAGAAAACAAGATGGCCGTCGGGCAGCCATCTTGGATTTTGACAGTTCAGGTTTGTTATTGCTTTTTCTGAAACAGTCCTTGACAAATCGTTTTTTTCGTGTAGCTTTTCGTTGTGCAACCTTTTTCATTTTGAGACCGTTTTGAGAAACTAGATAGCTGCCAAGTGGCCATCTTTAGTTTGTTATGGCCAAAATTACTGGACAGGTCTTTATCAAATTACATACGTAAGCCTCCTTGGTCCTTAGTTGGGAATGTTTCATTTTGAAACTGGTTCGAAAATAACAACATGGCCACCAAGAAACCATTTTGAATTTTGTATCACTATTTCCAATGAAATACTAATCTTTCTCAAATTTCATATGCAAGTTTTCGTATGTAGACTTCTTGGTTATTCCAAAGAAGTTGTTGAAATGTTTTAATATGTTTGACCCCTGTAACATCACTGTCAGCCTAGGTCAGTTGATTAATCTGAATAAGTCATTTGTTTGATATTAAAACAAATTTGCCATGTCAGCATGAAAGTGGGCCAAAATTCATAAGAGCAAACTTGGATGTTGAAGGCCCTGGGATACCCAGTTATTCAGGAGTTGTTTAGCGAGTATTACATATTTGATCCTGTGACATTGATAGTAAGTCAAGGTCATTTATCTGAGGGCAGTTTGTTTGTGTTTTACGTCCTATAAACATCTATGGTCATTTAAGGATGTACAAGGAGGTGGAGGAAAGCTTGAGTTCCCGGAGAAAAACCACCGACCTACGGCTAGTACCTGGCAACTGCCCCACGTAGGTCTCGAACCCGCGACCCAATGGTGGAGGGCTAGTGGTAGCAGAATGTCAGACGTCTTAACCACTTAGCCACCGAGGACAGTTTACAGCACCGCATCACACCATGCTACTAGTCAAACATCACCAAATCTGTGTTAATTATTCAGTTGTTCTATGGTTTGTATGTGAACATCAACATGTCAAGGTAATCCGTTCCAGACAACTTCATAGCACTACATCCGAGGTACCTACTGATATCATAATCCATCTGGTTGTTCAAAAGGGTTTGTTTAAAGTTTTTTATTATATATTTGACCAATGTGGCCTTGAAAGTAGGTCAAGGTCATTTTTTGAAGAAATTTATAGTACTCTGTTCAAGGTACCTACTGGCCAAATATCATGACACTGGTTCCTCCAGTTCCTAAGAAGAAGTTGACGGACGTTAAAAACACACCATACCACAAGGTGAACTAATAATAATAAGGCTTCGTGTTTACGTTGTTCATTTTTTCCAAATTTAAAATAACGCTGACAGTAATTTCCAACATTTTTATTGTCATATATATATATATCAATTTATAAAATATACAATTAATGAAACTAAAATTTGATGACATTGATAGCCAACACAAGTCTAAAATAACAGGAAGTTAACACAATGTTACATTTTGACAGCATGACATATTTGTATTGTTCTGCACCGACATCATTTGTACATCAGATCACCATGACAACAGCTGTTACCGGAGATCACTGTCAAATGTGATGTCATATAAATTGTGTACACTCAAAAGGATGACATCATATGGATCAAACACAAAATACAATGGCAATGGTTTTTGATGGTACAATAATAACTAGAAATATGAATTAACTCATTGAACCCTGAAGTTTCATAATGAACTCCTCCAACTATTGAATTGGAAGAGTTCAAATGTGTCTTCAGGGGTGAATGAGTTAAGGAAGCATTTATTTAAAACTTTTCAAAACTTTTACAAGTCAATGTATATAGCCAAGCAAAGTAAAAAAATTTACTACACCAGATGGTCATTTTGTCTGTTGCAATCATCAGTGGTATTTTAAGTCAATAGAAAGAAGTTAGAAATTGACAACTTTTGGCTACAAGACAAAATTTATTCTTAATAGATTTCATGTAAACATGGCCAGAATGAAATCCAGCTTGAAGTTGGTTATTGGAGTCAAAAGGAAAGTCTGATTATCTGAGCAGCATTTTTAAAATTGTCTTTATATTAAAGTTCCTAATTTAAAATTGTTTGAGTTTACCTAAATTGTTTCCTCTGTCATACGCTTTGACCAGAAATTCACCTTTTCAGGCTAAATTCACGAAAACGTCCGAGTATACCATTTTCTAAGTTACATTATTTACAGTTGGTCTGATCTGTCATGTCTTATTGCTTCAGTTCATCACCAGTTCGACTTAATATAAATGACATTGAATTTAGCAAAACAGAATACGGGATAAAATTAAAAATATTTTGGGTTAGTTATGGTTTTGCGAACAGGCAATATCAGGTTTTGAGATCACCTACACAAGGAGATGTACATTCCAGTACTCAAGTGTAGATAGCTTAATTAACTATAAGACATGCAAGAGTAACTACCGATATATAAGTTTTATTGTAACCGATAAATAAATTTTAACACTTTACAATTGTGATCAGTAGGGACATTTTGGACACCCCAATATAAACCTTGTTCAGGAGCACAATCAAACAAAACTAGGATGAAACTCATTATTTCACTTTAACGATAACTCCGAAAAACATTATACTGCAGCGAAAAATTTCCCAGTATACAGTTATTTCACTTGCAGATTAGCCAGGTTTGGCATATTCTGATGAAATTGTGATATTGGAGCTTAGTATAGATCACAGATAAGTTTTCTACTATTAATGTTACGCCACACCTTAGTCTGTATTTACTCATTTCAAATCGGCTGAGAAACACAAGGCGGACAACTCACTGACTGAAAAAACATAAGGGAGACAACTCACTGACTGAGAAGCAGAAGGGAGACAACTCACCAACAGAGAAACACAAGGGAGACAACTCACGGACGGAGAAACACAAGGGAGACAACTCACCAACAGAGAAACACAAGGGAGACAACTTAAATACAAATCACTCACAGGTTGTGCAATCTATCCTTTAACTTGAAATTTGCTTATAAAGCTTGATGCAAATGAATCCTGACAAACACATGATGAGGAACAAATGATTAACATACAGATTTGTAATGGAAGGTTAAATAATAGCCGATTATTGCACACAATTTCTTACCGATGAAAGGAACCCAATAATTATAAATTCACATCAGCAAAGTAACATTAATCTGTAACTTTTTTAACTTTTTAGTTTCTTCATCTCAAACTCATCACATCTGATATGAGCATTTTGAAAACTCATTTTAAACTTTTTTCTAATTCAAACAATGAAATCATGCCTTGATAGTGATCTTCCTTTTAGACGTTTTCTTTTACACTCGTGTATATATATATACGTACAATAAGTGAAATGCATTATCAACACCGTTGTAATTTATATAGACAGGTGGAAGTGATATCACAGCTGCCAAATATATCTATAACCGTACCATGGGCTCTTGTTATGAAGAGCGTCAACACCGGATTCATTTACAGAACTAATTTAAAGAATTAAAAAAAAATTCATGAACAATTTTCCCCCTCGTAATTCCAAATGATTTTTCCCCCCACCTCAAAATGATGGTGAATCAAAAACAACAAGAAGATTTCAGTTTAACTTCAATAATTATGAAATTACCTGAGATTCCGATATTACATTTATCCTTAAGAGGCTAATGGGGTCTGTATAACAGAGATGTGGCCGGAATTACCTGATTGTGTATGAAATGGTGTTAGAGTATCTATGTGGTTTGTTGGTGTTTTATGTCCTATTAACAGCTATGGTCATTTAAGGACGTGCAAGGTTTTGAGGAAAGCCGGGCCAGTCCCTGGAGACTGCTCCACGTAGGCCTCGAACCTGAAAGACTAGATGATGTTGATGTACAAGTGTCAGTTGTAAGTCTTGTCACATTTGGAGTTAATGTGATCTGCCAATACGGAATCCACTTACAGAGGGGGTGGGGTTTGGGGGACCGAGTTAATGTGACACATCAGTAATAGGTCTGAACATTACCTTAACTCATTCACCCCTGAAATTTCATGATCAACTATTCCATCCTTTAAATTGGAACTTTAAATTGGAAGAGTTCAAATGTGTTTTCAGGGGTTAATGAGTTTATACATATAATGATTTAACATTTGACCCCTTTTGGACAGACCCAATAGTTGAGTCATGATACATCCATCCAATAAGTTTTAGAAATATTGTTTATTATTTTATTCATTTACTCTCCACATTTTTGTTCTCAATTCAGCTCCGAGTTGATAACAAAATGAACAGGTAGCCAGCCTTTTACCATACCACATAGTGTGTCATTGAACTGTTGAGCAAATGAAAAAGAAAGAATCCGAGAAGAAACTGTCCACTTTAAAACTCAGCAACAATGGTTTCATGGTAGAGCGAAGGGACATAACTCTGCTTTATAAACCATTATATTTCCTCACAATTTTCACCCTTGTGTCTTTCATAATATATTTCTGCAGTGTTAAAAGTAGCCCATCCTCCTGATATTAACTTTACACTGTAAGTTTTCCGAGATCAAAATAAAAGCACCCATGTTGGATTTTTCTCATGTTGAAAAGCAAAAAGGACAAAACTGAAATATGAAAAAGTCTGATTGCAAGATAAAAATTATTTTTTATTTTTCAAAATTTTGTTGACCACATCACTAGATCCTAATTAGGCAAAACAATTGTTAGAACTGGTTCATTCTTTAATTTTAACTAATCAAATAACCAAAAACATGGAAGATGTGCAGTGGAAAACATTAAGTATTAAATATCAGTTACCTAAGTCTCCTTCAACAAAGTGATAAGAAATAAAAACCAACCCTTCCCTAATCCGTAAAAATGTTCTGTTATTGTTACCGTTATATCAAATGGTCTGTTCTCCTGGCCAACATAAGATCAATTTATTAAAACATTTGAATTTTCTAAACTGCAATAAACTTGTTCAGATTCAAAAACTAGCATGACCACAATAAGTACATGAGAACACAATCCCCAAATACCACCGGAACAGAAACTCTACGAACATTGCTAAATGGTTTGATCTGTGCTACGTCCTTCTTAATCGTTTCTTGCCATCTTCTGACGTGACTGGAGACATGGATGCTAGCCGACCACTTTTCCGTGTCGGTGTGCCCAGAATACTGGAGGTGGAGGCAGAGCTTGGAGTTGTGCTTCCGTTGGCAATGGTTGGTTGCGGTGTAGTGCTGCCAGCCGTTTTCGGCCGTTTGGATATTGATGGACCTTCATCAGAGCTTGGAGGTGGGCGCATTGTTTTGACTCTCTCGGATGCAGGAATCCTTGGGGTAGACATGGTCACACCTATGAAGGAAACGAACATTCTTTCCGTAAGCGTAGGAATATAACTAGGAAATATGTAGATATTTTTTATCCCTAGCTTTCAGGAAATAATGAAGCTGCAATCCATTGTTGAGGTGTGGTGTCAATACACTGTTTAATATGATTGAGAATCAGAAGTAGATATGTCTGGCAAATGGTTCTCAGAAATCGGATAATATCACGTGAATTTATGTCACAATCTTACGAGGCATAAAGGTATCCTAGATATCCAATTTTTTGTCTTTAAAGTAACATTGGCTAAAATCACATGACAGGGAATTTCTCGCAATTAATATTAATTTTTGACTGGTCAATCAGGCTGGCGGTTTTAAGAACTACTAGTCCAGCTGGAGATTTCAATAGTCTCAGAATATCAAGCTGTACCTTTACTGTCTAGCCCTTGGCGATGCAAATACTTACTACCAAATGCAGATGTCACGTTTACATCATATATGCCAATAAACTAATCTTCACTTCATTGTTACTTACCCAGGCTTGAACCCACTTCTAATATCATGTTATTAATAATTTTGGACAAAAGATTCTAACAATCAACAAATTCTTTACATTCAAGAGATGCTTGCAATTTTTTTTTTATGCATTTATGTACATATTAAACTTGATTTTTGAAATCTACATATAAATGACTGACCTAGTTTTTGTTCAACGTCTCTGAGCTCGACTTCGGTGTCACGACATTCTTTATATTTCTCCTGCATCTCTGGTAGCTTCATGTGGGCCACCTGCTCTGCCAGCTCACTCTTGGCCTTCCCCGACTTTGTCATCCCAACACGATAGTTCTGGAGCAAATCTGTAACCCCAGGGTCAAAATTGTTAGTACAAGGTTACACAACGGTAGGTCAAGGTCATTACACTGTAAAACACGGTTACAAAGGCCAAATCCTTGCTAAATAAGTGGAAATTCTCTCCTTAGCGACAATTTTTAACCCATGCCGTGTGGAAAATTTCCACTGAGGCAATGGTTTTGAAATCTATATGATCTATAGATAAATACCTGCATGTGAATATTTTTGGAACAGTTTACTCAACACAAGTAAATGCTAGCATTTTCACATCGCGAAATTTCCACTTTCACAGTATTCCTGCACACGGTCATAACAACGAGGTCAAAATAACCATCATCAAATTATTAATACTTTCATACAAACCTTGACCAAGACATACACATATGTAACTATTTGTGAAAGAATATTGCTACAAAAGTGTAATGAATTCTTATTCCAAACTAAGAAGAATGCACTGAATTTATGCTATTTAATAATAATAATAATGATAATAATTTGAGGTTCTTATATACCGTTTTATCACAACCTAGTTCGTAGGTTGTCTCAAAGCGGTTCACAAATTAGTATCCGTGGTTAAAGGACCTTTGCAACCAGCCATTATATCTTTCTCAACTCCCTGGGGAGCATACAGCCGGTGCTGCCACTTCGGCGCTCACAGCTACCATTCTACAATTCTAGCACTGCCTAACCACATACTCATTTACAGCTGAGTAGACTGGAACAAGCGGAGTAAAGTATCTTGTTTGAAGATACAACACAGTGCCGTGCCATGACTCAAACCCGCAACCCTTCTGTCATGAGCCGGCATCCTACCATTAGACTACCGTGCTTCCTACTTGTGGCAAGTAAGTAACACATCCACATTTTTCTTTTCTGTATCCATCCAAACTCCATGATCAAAACTTACCGATTTGGTTGGATAATTCGTGATAGGTGAATGGCAGAGGTTCACTAAACACAGCCCCTCGTAGTTTGTCTATAGACAGAGCTTTGTTCATGAGACCTCCAAATTTCCCGTTGCTACGGATCCTGTCACCCTGACGTGTCAGGATTGTAGGGCAGTGTGTGTATTTCACCAGCTGTTCAACGAGAGGAAATAAGATAAACGAAATATATACTCGGCTACTTAAAAAACAAAACATGATTAGGTACTAGGTTATGGACTCAATCAAGAAATTTGACCCGTGTATTATAAGAATTTGAAAATAGATCAATCATTTATTTGTAATAATTTGATATTTCAAATTGTTTGAAAATTAAAGGTACAGTTAATTCTGCTTATTTATATACATGTAGCTGCCCATGATTTGTCAGAATGCTGAATTTGTTTAAACTAACTGTCTGAATAGCCATGGAGAGAATATGATTGACTGCCATTTTGGAAATTGTCAATAATAGATCAGGACAGGGTGGATGCTCAAATTGGTCTCTAGGCCTGAAGATATATAATTGTATTTTTGAATTTTATTTAAAATTTCTTCCAGAGTCCATTGCGACTATGATGTTCCTTAGGGTAGTTCTTGGTATAAAACGAAAATGCAACAGTTAATTAACTGGAAATAAAACCCTCAAGATGGACCTCATTTTATTCAGTGATAGGATATTTAGTGATTGATTAAGTGTTTAGATAAATAAACCCACGTACCTCCTGTCTGTACTCGTTAGCTTGGTCTAAATTATCCAGGATCAGGGTGTCGCCCAACAGCATTCCAATCACTGAAGTATACAGACACAAAATCAGCTAGAGACCGGTGATGGAAGTCTCTGAAGAGGAGTTACAGATTCCTCCCCTACCTTAACTGTGTGCCAGAGAAATCTGCATCCCTCAGGAAGTCTAATTGGTTGTTTAATTCAAAGCTAAACAGAGGGTTAGACAACCAAATAGTCACCCCAAGGGTAGGAGATTTTTTCAATAACATTTTTGTAAAAGCTGTTTTAAGGCAAGCATATATTCAATTTTAGAGTATGATTCCAAAATAATTTCGATATCAAAATTAAAGGCTTGGAGTTTTTTTCAATAACTTTTTTGGAAAGCTTGGTTTGATCGTGTTTTATGTCCTACTAACAGCTATGGTCATTTAAGGATGTGCCAGGTTTTGGTGGCCGAGGAAAGCCGGAGATCCCGGAGAAAAACCACCGACCTACAGCCAGTTCCTGGCGACTGCCCCACGTAGGCCTCGAACCCGCAACCCAGTGGTGGAGAGCTAGTGGTGGCAGAATCATTTTGAAACCATACTTTTGTAAAGCTGTTTTAAGGCAGACATACATTACATTTTAAAGTATGGTTTCAAAATAATTTCGATATAAAATTTTTGTCTATAGTTTATAAATATTATATGAAATAAATCAATTTATATTATTTTAACATTTATAAATCAACATGTTTAATCTGGTAATACTATTCTTCAAATTAAACATGACGTACCTATCTTGCATTTTTCTTCATTCTGTGGGAATATGATAAGGTTCCTGGCATACATCGGGTTACCACGGGGATGCCAGTTCGGTTTGTATTTCACATGAGGTAAAGGTCTGAAACACAAGTTCATTTTTAATATACTGTATGTTATCTTAGATTGGAGACCTGGACTTTATAAAGGGAGATAATCTTACATAGTGTTTGTTATCTTAGACCGGAGACCTTGCCTTATAAAGTGAGATAATCTTACATACTATATATTATCTTAGACCAGAGACCTTGACCTTATAAAGGGAGATAATGTTACATACTGTATGTTATCTTAGACCGGAGACCTTGACCTTACAAAGGGAGATAACCTTACATAGTGTATGTTATCTTAGACCCGAGACCTGAACCTTATTAAAGGAGATAACCTTACATAGTGTATGTTAGCCATCACAGTTTCGTATTCAATACATATTCGCCCCCTATTTTGAGTGTCATCATTTAAGGGTAATATCTCGAAATACAGATAAACCGTTTGAAAACACTGATCCCAAGCGTCATCATCCGCCAGTGACTTCACTTGAAAGAAAATCAAATGTGTGGGAGTAAACGTAAATATGTTGTGACCACTTAGATGTCAGTGTGGTTTTTACATGGACTGCCCAGTTGTCTGGTGATAATCTGATTTCAGTTCATTTAAGCTTACATAACAGCATTGGGTTACAAGTACTTTCAACATGTTTTGATAAGGTCTGTAAAAGTGGTAAACATTTTTGATAATTTCGCTGGTGTTTAGAATTCGCAGATGTTAGTCAACCCGGCAAAATATAACCGCTATACAGCATCTTCTCTGCACCCCTGGAATTGATCATCACAAAATCCAAGGCATATGGTTAGCTTTTCGGTTGGTTTCAGGTATAAAGACCTGACCAATCGCAAAGTTTATACCTGTCCTTTGAAGATTACTGAGAAGCGACACCAATCTTCAAAGCTTGTTGATTTTACCACTACGCTGAAGGAGTCAGACTTGTCTACCTGTATCATCTACGAGATTAGGTGTCGCCTAAAAAGCTTGGATTGTTTTACATGGCATATTCCAGGGGTGAAGAGAGATATGTGCAACAAAGCGGAACCCTCGGTTGTCAAGGACGAGGGTCCTAATCTGCGCGTAATATTTACTATGAGTGACAAGCCCTGGGACCTAGTCCTTAGAAGGGGTAACATGACCTACTGTAATTTTTTTTTTTATCAATTCCATTCTGAGCTGATGTCCATACCAACGCTGGATAGTTTATTTTAAGATTATTTTAGTGTTATACAAAAGTACGCTGGATACAGTTATATCGTTACTGTGACTGACCATATACTTACACCAGTTCTGAGGAATAAGTGAACATGATGTCATTAAGCAGGACACAATTGTGCAAAAAAAAAAAAAAAAAAAAAATATGATCAAAGACTCATTTCCCTTAAAGGCAATCATAAAAAAGTTGTATTTTTAAGAATGGAACTCACTTTCTCCAATCTGGAAGATTTTTCTTAAATATTGAGTCAATTGGTAAAACTTGCTGTTTGCCGTTGGTCTGTGCATACACCTCTTTGGCCTGCAAAACAAAGAACCAATTTAGGTATCAATAGTGAGTAGCATCAATATCTGTCAGTGTTTTCATTAACCCTTCCCCCACTGTTGACCATAATGGACTCTTCCATATCAATGCATGATAGAGTCTACTAAAGTTACATAGGGGTGAAAGATTTAAAGGGGCCGCAGTGGACAAGTGGTAAAGGCGTCTGACCGTTTACCATCACTAGCCCTCCACCACTTGGTCGTTGGTTCAATGGCTACATTGGGCAGTTGAGTAGTACTGGCCACAGGTTGGTGGTTTTTCTCTTGGCACTTACTCCGACTTTCCTCCACTACCAAATTCTCGCACATCCTTGATTTACCATAGCTGTTAATAGTACGTTTAACCTCAACAAACAAAAGTTTTCATTAAAAGCAGGAGAAAATAGCCTGCTATTCGTCAACTTGGAATAAACTGGGCTGTTTTTTCTAAATATGTATATGTCAACATAATCAGCTATTCTTTCAAAATTAAGTGAGAACAAAGTCTGTCTGTGACAGGAGGCAAACATGTCTACAAATGGCCTTTTTTCTCTTTATGCATTGCTTACACGTTCCATACACCTGTATACGAATTAGAAGTAATCGCACTTTGAAAATTCTTTTATGTTTTCTCCAGACAATATCTGACAGAGGGATAGCACAGACACAACCATGTAGGAATGATATGTAATAATTCTGTGATCATTTAACAGTAAGAAAAATACTTACGCTGTGTTATTCCAGTTAAAGACATAAACCTTTGTGTCGATACCAATATTCTCGGTGACAGTGAACGTGAAATGAGAGTCAGTTACATCAGACATACATTTGCTGTTCAAATATTCCTGTTCTACTGTAGCTGTAAAAAGTGTACTGAAATATATTGTGTCAGTTAACAGGTGCTGGCTATTTTACCTTTTTGTTGGTTAGAGTGACAACACAGTCCATATCAGCAGACATGTGCCAGGACAGCACACGAGCAATAGCTTCATCCTCTATCTGGCCAAGGTGACCGATCTGTCAAAATAAAGGGGAGATAAATCAATCCTACCATGTGACCGATCTGTCAAAATAAAGGGGAGTTAACTAAATCATATCATGTGACCAATATGTCAAAATAAAGGGGAGTTAACTCAATCCTACCATGTGACCGATCTGTCAAAACAAAGGGGAGTTAACTCAATCCTTCCAGTTTACCAACCTGTCAAAATAAAGGGGAGTTAATTCTATTCTTCCATGAATTTTGACACACCAGGATCTAGGTGTTCAAATTTACGGCAGACAGAAGTTGGATGCCAAAATTTTCCTCCAGTGTGATGCTTACCTTGCCAAGAATCTCATTGTCTGGAGGAGCTTCTGCCAGACCACATGTTCTCCGTTTAGCTGTCCGGACTTGTTCACGACTCCTGGTTTTTTCTTCTAGAAGTTTATCAACACTGGCTAACTAAGAGACAAAAATCAAAAAATCAAAAAAAATCATACTAAACTAAATATGTCATATGTGATAATTTTTAATTTTTCCCCACTCTGATTCTGTTTACTCCGTAAGAAATTGTTTAAAGGATTAAATACAACAAGGGGCCCGGAGGGCCTATATCGCTCACCTGAATATGTTTAAAATAATTGGTATGAAGTAGGTGCTGTAAGTACATATGAAATTTCAGAAAGATCCATACAGTACTTGAGATATAATGAGAACAAACTTCAAACAGAGCCCCATCCCTATGCCCCTAGGGGGGGGGGGGGTCATACCCACCAATTATACTAAATTGAGTCCCCTTGACCAAAGAATGCTCCAGACTTCATAAGGATTTTAAAGGTTTTACCTCTATTTCTCCTATTGGGCCCCGCCCTTCTTACCCTTGGGAGACCACACCCACTGCTTATACAAAATTGAGTCCCTTTTGCCTAAGGATGCTCCAGACTAAATTAGGATAATATCCCTTAATCCCTATGGTAGAAGAAGGATTATAAAGGTTTTACCTATATTTCCCCTATTGGGCCCCTCCCCTCAGGTCCCAGGGGGGGGGGGGGGCACACCAACTGTTTATACAAAATTGGTTCTCCTTTACCCAAGGATGTTTCAGAACAAATATGGAACAAATCCATTCATTCCTACAGAAGTATAGGATTTTAAAGAATAATTTTCTATGTTTCCCCAATGGGCCCCGCCTCTCAGGCCCCTTGGGGGCCAAACCAACGATTTATACAAAATTGGTTCCCCTTCACCCAAGGATGCTTCAGAACAAATATGGAATAAATCCTTTTATTCCTACTGAAGAAGGATTTTAAAGAATTTGCTATATTTCCCCTATTGGGCCAGCCCCTCAGACCCCAGGGGGGCCACACCCACTGTTTATACAAAATTGGTTCCCCTTTACCCAAGGATGCTCCACACCAAATCCTTTTATTCCTACAGACGAAGAAGGATTTTAAAGAATAATTTGCTATGTTTCCCATATTGGGCCTGCTCCTCAGACCCCTTGGGGGCCACACCCACGGTTTATACAAAATTGGTTCCCCTTCACCCAAGGTTGCTTCAGACCAAATATGGAACAAATCCTTTCATTTCTACAGAAGAAGAAGGATTTCAAAGAATTTGCTATATTTCCCCTATTGGGCCCCGCCCCTCAGCCCTCAGGGGGCCAGACCCACAGTTTATACAAAATTGGTTTCCCTTCAACCAGGAATGCTTCAGACCAAATATGGACCAAATCCTTTCATTCCTACAGAATAAGAAGGATTTTAAAGAATTTGCTATGTTTCCCCTAATTGGCCCCGCCCCTCAGGCCCCTGGGGGGCCACATCCACGATTTATACAAAATTGTTCCCCTTCACCCAAGGATGCTTCAGACCAAATATGGAACAAATCCTTTCATTCCTACAGATGAAGAGGATTTTAAAGAATAATTTGCTATGTTTCCCCTAATGGGCCCCGCCTCTCAGGCCCCTTGGGGGCCAAACCCACGATTTATACAAAATTGGTTCCCCTTCACCCAAGGATGCTTCAGAACAAATATGGAACAAATCCTTTCATTCCTACAGAAGACGAAGGATTTTAAAGAATTTGCTATATTTCCCCTATTGGGCCCCGGCGCTTAGCCCCCAGGGGGGCAAGACCCACCATTTATACAAAATTTGTTCCCCTTCTCCTATGGATGCTTTTGACCAAATTTGGTCAAAATCTGCTCAGTCGTTCATGACTAGTAGCGTTTTGAAAGAAAAGTTGACGGACGGACGGACGGATGACGGACGCTGCGGTATGGCATAAGCTCACCATGGTCCTTTGGACCCAGTGAGCTAATAAACATGTAGCTGTTTTCGTTTTGAGTTTTTGTTCTTTTTCAAATTGTTTTTTTCTTTCAAAATGTTTTATTTCAATATTTTGGAATTTTTTATATACTTAGCATCTACATCTTTCTTATAACCTGCATACATTGTTTTACATATCACTACATCATTCTTCATCTTATAACCAGCATACGTTGTTTTACATATAGCTACATTATTCTTCATCTTAACCCTTACACCACTGTGGACCACAATGGACTCATCTAGATAAATGTATGGTACAGTCTACTAAAGTTACCTAGGTGTGAAAGGGTTAAGAAATGAGGCAATTGATCTTTCTTTTAAATGTGACTTTTTCAAAATCATAAACCAGATAGAAATAATTTAATGCTAGTCATGCAAATGATTTAATCCCGTTTCACTGGACTTACGTTCTGCAAATGGACAAGAGGAACCTTTTGTTTTCGCAGTTCTTCTCTGATCTTATTTTCTTCCACTTGAGCTTCGTGTACAGAGACTGAAAACACGAACAATTTTTTATTTGCATACAGACAGAAAACATAGACTATTCCTTATCAATTACGTGTACAGAGAGAAAATATAGACCATCCCTTATCCATTACAAATATTGGTGTACAGACAGAATTTTAGACCTTATATATACCGTACGAGTAGAAATGTTCATGGTGTGGAAATGCCCACGCTATTCATTTTGAGTAAATTAGCATGAAATATACACAAGCGAAATACTAATTGAAAGACTATATAAATTACAGATCTTAGAATATACACATTTTAGAAGCATTGCCAATGTGAATATTTCCACACTGCAATCTGTTTAGTGAATGGCAATACAAATATATAATTAAGTACAGGTGGTAAACACTGACCATGATACTTATCAATTACCTCAGACTTGCTTTTAAGCTGTTTGACAAAACTTTAACACTATTTGTCTTTACTTTAAAGTTCTAAGGTTTCCTATTGAGCTGTCAGTTTGACTTTCAAGCCCTCTGACTTATTTAAGAGACCTCTGCTGAACCTGGTCGTTTAATTTACCCTTGAACCCTTTTGACTTACTTTGAACCCTTTAGCATACCTCAGAACCCTTTGACATACCTCAGAACCCTATGAATTACCTTTGAACAAAGGATTGCTTACCTTTGAACCCTTTGATTAACCTTTGAACCCTTTGACTAACCTTTGAACCATTTGACTAACCTTTGAATCATTTGACTTAACTTTGAACACTTGGACCAACTTTTGAACCCTTCACTTACTTTTGAACCCTTCACTTACTTTTCAACCCTTCACTTACTTTTGAGCTCCTTGACTAGTTGTTCTGTGGTTTCAAACAAGGACTTGTAGGTTTTAATAACGGCACGGAGGTCATCTCGCTGTCGTGACAACGAGGTCATCTGAGACTGTTTTTTGGCATCTATAAGATACAAAATAATTTCTATGTATAAATAAGAGTTGATATCTGTGCATCTCATGTATGCAGCATCTTACCATCTTAAATGTAGCTGTGTAGTTCTCATTAATTTACAAATATTGGGCCTGTTCAAGATCAATCGGAAGTGTCCGTCATTCCGTAATATGTGTAATTTATGAACATTTCATATTTGGATGTGTTAAATTATACAACTGGTGATCTGAAACTGGGACAAAGAGTGAAATAGTTCCTGTGACATAGGCAATCGTTTTGTCTTTGCCTATATACCACCCACATACAAGGTTCTTCCAAAATTCTCCAACGAATTGAACTGTAAACAAGAGCGAGGTTTCTTAAAGTGGAAATCTTATCAGAAGGAAGTACAGGTCATAAGAATGTAACATACTTCCTTCAGTCTCCAAGTCACAGTTAGGTAGCATGCATCCTTCAGTCTCCAAGTCACTGTAAGTAGCATGCATCTTAAAAGTCTCCATGTCACAATAAGTTTGTATATGTTATTAAGTCTTCATGTCACAGTAAGATAGCATACATCCTTAAGTCTTCGTGTCACAGTAAAATAGCACACATCCTTAAGTCTTCATGTCACAGTAAGGTAGCATACATCTTTAATCAATAGAACGAAATCACTACTGGAAAGTTTTACCTCATTTGGAACCGAGATTTATTTCTGATCTAAATTAATTGGCAAACAAATCTGGAACCAATTAAAAAGTCATCATCCTAAAAATAGTGACGGTGATGTTGAAGTATCCGACATGCTCTACACTAAGAACACGGAAACTTGTGTGCTCTTTCTGAACAAACTGGCAGGCTATTTACGTGAAATAACGATATCCTAGGAAACATCAAAGTACACACTATCTTGCCATTACTTACTGCTAATTGTAATCAGTGTCTGCAATTCTCTAGTGGCTTATGGTAGTCTACTGTATACTGCTTTTAGTTCGGCATATAATAGAGTAGCTCCTATTAATCAAGACTGAAGTCAATTGAATGGCCCATGTTTGGTATGTTATTTAAGCCCATCCTTTGATAAAGATTTTCAAAAAACAAGGCTATTTCCGGAATTCTTTTTTTCCTGCAAAAATTCCAAGTTCAGAAATATATGAGTAAGAATCAGTCATACCTTTCTCTGGGATACATCCCTCACTATGCCCCTTTAACTCATTCACCCTTGAAATTTCATATTGAACTATTCCAACCTATGAATTGGAAGAGTTCAAATGTGTCTTCAGGGGTGAATGAGTTAATTCCTTTCTTGGGAATAACACTCTCTACCCCCACCTGAAGTAAAAAAGGTGCCCAAAAACTTGCAACAAGAGAAATTTGGCCTGAAAAAGGAACCACCAGCAATCTTACTATTTTACACTCGTGTTTTGACTTTTCCAATAATCAACAGAGCCTGCACTCAGAAACTTGTCACTGGGTTTCTCCAGCTACTTTTGCGTCACCAAAAAAATTTCATCTTCGTTTTTGAATTCCAAGTTAACAAGTTCAAAATTTTCATGGCTACTTTCGTGTCACCAAAAATATTTCACCATCATTATCAAATTCTAGGTTAACAAGTTTAAAATTATATAAAAGTGCAGTTCTTACTAGAAAGAAAGTCAACTCATTCACCCCTGAAACTTCATAATGAACTATTCCAACCTTTGATTTGGAAGAGTTCAAATGTGTCTTCAGGGGTGAATGAGTAAAACTAAACATATAAATCCCCTGCCCCATACCGACACGAAACATTCAGCATCAAGAAGGATCACTATAGTTGAACAGCTGATGCTATTGACAACTTAAAAAGAAAACTACTTTCGTGTCACCAAAAATATTTCACCATCATTATCAAATTCTAAGTTAACAAGTTTAAAATTATATAAAGTGGAGTTCTTTCTAGTAAGAAAGTTAACTCATTCACCCCTGAAACTTTATAATGAACTATTCCAACCTTTGATTTGGAAGAGTTCAAATGTGTGTGTTTAGAGGTGAATGAGTTAAACTAAACATATAACTCCCCTGCCCCATACCGACACGAAACATTCAGCATCAAGAAGGATCACTTTAGTTGGACAGCCGTTGCTATTGACAACTTGAAAGAAAACTACTGTGTACAAATGCATGTGAATTGCATGTCTGTACAAATGATATAAAGAACTTCAATACTTGGAATTCAGAACCTGAGGAATTCCAAGCACTATTTCTTTTAAATATTCATATCCTTAATAAATTTAAACAAATAATTTAAACAGCGTACGTGAAAACAAAATGTATTCCATGAATTCAAAGTAGCATCAATTTTCAATGATTTTTTTTCAATCCCATAGAATAATGCACAAATTCCTCTTGAATTAACCTCAGAATGCAAGACTCCTTAACCAAATGATATTCATAATTGAGAATTTGGAAAAATAATAAGAATTTTCCCTCAAACCAAATTCGCAAATATATAAATAAACAAATTACCCACAATACAATAAGCCACTCTGTCTATTGATGATAAGTACAAACATTAAAAAAAAAAAAAAAGTCTGAGGTGAAGTTAGATTACATCTAATTATAACCTTGACCTTGGGGTGAAAATCAAACGCGGGTACACGGAACTACTGTCCAGCGATCACGATATAAAAATCAATTTACCTGATGTTTTCACTAATACATTTACTTATCACCTTAGATACAGACTGTGAAGCCTCTGGGTCGTCTTTCTGGTGTACATGCAATGTACAGTGCACTAATGACAGCCAAAAGGGATTGGTTTAAACATGCAATCGGAAGTTAGATGAACCGGGCAAAAAAAACAAAAAAACTTTCTTCACCCAAAACTGAGCGATACATCCTGTAGGCCCTGAGGTTTACTTTCATTCACTAGTGGAGCGGGGTGGTATACTGATGGAAACCTTAGCGGACTGGGAGGTACGATTGCATTATATCATTCATAATAGATGGCAAGTATACCCACGTCAGTCATTAAGTCAAATTGGTGCTATCTGTACATGGCCAATCAAATTCCCTGATTACGCATGTGCATAATTAATGAGCCATGCACACTGACCCATTGATTTTTCTACAAGGTAAGTAAAGTTTATAGCTGGGGCTCCTAAGGTTAACTATTGATCTCATATTATGTGGTGGTAATCTGGAGGCACATTAAGGGTATCTTATCATATAAATAAATAACAACGAATAAGACATTTTTTTTTCTCTTCAAAAACATGATCACATGAATATGTTACAAATACATATACCTTAGTTAATATAAATTACAATTTACCTAACAGATATGTAAAAAAACCACCCCAGATTCCCCAAATTTGGCCCCAAATGTCCAGTTACTCCATCACTCTGTAGGGAGGGTGCGATGAAGTCTCCAAAGAGTTCAATAAAACAAATACAAGTCTGAGAGTCTACAGTGTAGACAGATGCAGCGACCCAATGTAGCCACGACCACCGCCAGATAACCTGGTCCTAGGCTGACAGGCCGTCAATATCTCTGATTTCACAGGTAAGCTATAGCAGTAGTGTCTAGCTGTGGGATCCGATGTATCAGGATTTGGACCTTAAAAAGTGATATCCACGTTTTTTATTGTTATATTGATATAGCACGTACTTTCGACGAGCCATTTTAAGGACTACTGCAACGTTCCACAACACACACTTTTAGGCTTCAATAATAACACACTCTACTGCATGCAACAGTTACCTAGATAAAAACCCAACTAATTTTGATTACGATACACAATCTCACAGCCTTTTGAATCCTAATGGTATTGGACAATTATGCTTGTATGTATTTGGTTAAAAGCCCATTAGAGCTTATATGTTTGTAGTTTGTAACTATACCGAATTTAAATAGAACTTTCATATTCATATAGCAGCTTTTAATTAAATTATACCAATCCACAGCTTTTTGAATTCTCAAACTTTTCCCCATATGCAAAGAAACAACATGTTTACCATCCAGTAGCTATCTAGTGATCAATTCAAAAGGTAAGGGGAAAACGGTTTGTTTTTTTATTACACCCCACCCCCTAGAGCCGAGGAGCCCTAGACTCCCCTAACTTACTACATATAGCCTCGCACGGGAGGCCTCTTATTTATCTTTCACTCGGTTAACTTTCCTTCTGCTCTTTTAACAATTCTTTCATTCTCATAACTTTGTTTACTCTTCCGCTAGCAGCAGACAAGTTCAGAGTGTCAGAGGGTATGAAACGCTTGCCGACAATGCTTCCAATTTATAAATGTTTTGCATCACATGCTTAAGTCATTTTAAATATATATATTTACTTTTGTTAATAAAAACAGTAATAATATTCTTAGCTGTCTTTGTAACATCACTTCTCACACCACGCAGGCTCAAACCTCCCACGTTGTTCTGAATGTTACAATGACTTAGTGGGTAATATACTGTCTTTGTAACATCACTTCTCACACCACGCAGGCTCAAACTGTGCATGTCATTCTGAATGTTACAATAACTTAGTGGGTAATATGCTGTCTTTGTAACATCACTTCTCACACCACGCAGGCTCAAAACTCCCACGTCGTTCTGAATGTTACAATAACGTACTGGGTAATATGCTGTCTTTGAAGCCTCAATCCTCATACCAAGCCAGCCTGAACTTTTCTATGTCAGTCTGAGTGCGACCACTCAGTATCATGATGTCCATTAAATGTCATCACTTAAACATTTAGAGTGCTTTTATTACTGAAGTTATCTTGATGTAATTTTATGGAGTTGAAATACTGCTGCGGTTTTATGAAATGATACATTTTAACTCATTAATCCCTGGAAGTTCCTCTAATCCAAACGTTGGAATAGTTCATTACGAAATTTCAGGGGTGATTGAGTTAACGTGTCAGTATCAATATTTCAACAGTAAGACGAAATTATAACGCAAATAGATTACAATTTTTATAAGCTGTAACATTTTAATTTACAAGGATATTTGTCAATAAAGTCAACTGCATGTCATACTTTTTTTATTTCT